CCCACCCATCAGCTCCATCGCTTCCCCCCGCCCGTGCCGCTCACTCACCAACTCATCCACTCGCCCACCCATCAGCTCCATCTCTTTCCCAACCCGTGTCACTCACTCACCAACTCACCCACTCGCCCACCCATCAGCTCCATCGCTTCCCCAACCCGTGCCACTCACTCACCAACTCACCCACTCGCCCATCCATCAGCTCCATCGCCTCCTCAGCCCGTGTCACTCACCAACTCACCCACTCGCCCACCCATCAGCTCCATCGCCTCCTCAGCCCGTGTCACTCACCAACTCACCCACTCGCCCACCCATCAGCTCCATCGCTTCGCCAGCCCGTGCCACTCACTCACCAACTCACCCACTCGCACACCCAGCAGCTCCATCGCTTCCGCAGCCCGTGCCACTCACCAACTCACCCACTCGCCCACCCATCAGCTCCATCGCTTCCCCCAGCCCGTGCCGCTCACTCACCAACTCATCCACTCGCCCACCCATCAGCTCCATCTCTTTCCCAACCCGTGTCACTCACTCACCAACTCACCCACTCGCCCACCCATCAGCTCCATCGCTTCCCCAACCCGTGCCACTCACTCACCAACTCACCCACTCGCCCATCCATCAGCTCCATCGCCTCCTCAGCCCGTGTCACTCACCAACTCACCCACTCGCCCACCCATCAGCTCCATCGCCTCCTCAGCCCGTGTCACTCACCAACTCACCCACTCGCCCACCCATCAGCTCCATCGCTTCTCCAGCCCGTGCCACTCACTCACCAACTCACCCACTCGCACACCCAAGCAGCTCCATCGCTTCCGCAGCCCGTGCCACTCACCAACTCACCCACTCGCCCACCCATCAGCTCCATCTCTTCCCCAACCGTGCCACTCACTCACCAACTCACCCACTCGCACACCCATCAGCTCCATCCTCTTCCCCAACCCGTGCCACTCACTCACCAACTCACCCACTCGCCCACCCATCAGCTCCATCTCTTCCCCAACCCGTGCCGCTCACTTACCAACTCACCCACTCGCCCACCCATCAGCAACCATCGCCTCCTCAGCCCGTGTCACTCACTCACCAACTCCACCCACTCGCCCACCCATCACCTCCATCGCTTCTCCAGCCCGTGCCACTCACTCACCAACTCACCCACTCGCCACACCCAGCAGCTCCATCGCTTCCGCAGCCCGTGCCACTCACTCACCAACTCACCCACTCGCACACCCAGCAGCTCCATCGCTTCCGCAGCCCGTGTCACTCACTCACCAACTCACCCACTCGCCCACCATCAGCTCCATCGCCTCCTCAGCCCGTGTCACTCACTCACCAACTCACCCACTCGCCCACCCATCAGCACCATCGCCTCCTCAGCCCGTGTCACTCACTCACCAACTCACCCACTCGCCCACCCATCACCTCCATCGCTTCTCCAGCCCGTGCCACTAACTCACCAACTCACCCACTCGCACACCCACAGCTCCATCGCTTCCTCAGCCCGTGCCACTCACTCACCCACTCACCCACTCGTTCCACCATCAGCTCCATCTCTTTCCCAACCCGTGTCACTCACTCACCAACTCACCCACTCGCACACCCATCAGCTCCATCTCTTTCCCAACCCGTGTCACTCACTCACCAACTCACCCACTCGCCCACCCATCAGCTCCATCGCTTCCCCCAGCCCGTGCCGCTCACTCACCAACTCACCCACTCGCCCAACCATCAGCTCCATCGACTCCTCAGCCCGTGTCACTCACCAACTCACCCACTCGCCCACCCATCAGCTCCATCGCTTTTTCCAGCCCGTGTCGCTCACTCACCAACTCACCCACTCGCCCACCCATCAGCTCCATCGCCTCCTCAGCCCGTGTCACTCACCAACTCACCACCTCGCCCACCCACAGCTCCATCGCTTCCTCAGCCCGTGCCACTCACTCACCCACTCACCCACTCGTCCACCCATCAGCTCCATCTCTTTCCCAACCCGTGTCACTCACTCACCAACTCACCCACTCGCACACCCATCAGCTCCATCTCTTTCCCAACCCGTGTCACTCACTCACCAACTCACCCACTCGCCCACCCATCAGCTCCATCGCTTCCCCCAGCCCGTGCCGCTCACTCACCACGTCATCCACTCGCCCACCAATCAGCTCCATCTCTTTCCCAACCCGTGTCACTCACTCACCAACTCACCCACTCGCCCACCCATCAGCTCCATCGCTTCCCCAACCCGTGCCACTCACTCACCAACTCACCCACTCGCCATCCATCAGCTCCATCGCCTCCTCAGCCCGTGTCACTCACCAACTCACCCACTCGCCCACCCATCAGCTCCATCGCCTCCTCAGCCCGTGTCACTCACCAACTCACCCACTCGCCCACCCATCAGCTCCATCGCTTCTCCAGCCCGTGCCACTCACTCACCAACTCACCCACTCGCACACCCAGCAGCTCCATCGCTTCCGCAGCCCGTGCCACTCACCAACTCACCCACTCGCCCACCCATCAGCTCCATCTCTTCCCCAACCCGTGCCACTCACTCACCAACTCACCCACTCGCACACCCATCAGCTCCATCTCTTCCCCAACCCGTGCCACTCACTCACCAACTCACCCACTCGCCCACCCATCAGCTCCATCTCTTCCCCAACCCGTGCCGCTCACTTACCAACTCACCCACTCGCCCACCCATCAGCACCATCGCCTCCTCAGCCCGTGTCACTCACTCACCAACTCACCCACTCGCCCACCCATCACCTCCATCGCTTCTCCAGCCCGTGCCACTCACTCACCAACTCACCCACTCGCACACCCAGCAGCTCCATCGCTTCCGCAGCCCGTGCCACTCACTCACCAACTCACCCACTCGCACACCCAGCAGCTCCATCGCTTCCGCAGCCCGTGTCACTCACTCACCAACTCACCCACTCGCCCACCCATCAGCTCCATCGCCTCCTCAGCCCGTGTCACTCACTCACCAACTCACCCACTCGCCCACCCATCAGCACCATCGCCTCCTCAGCCCGTGTCACTCACTCACCAACTCACCCACTCGCCCACCCATCACCTCCATCGCTTCTCCAGCCCGTGCCACTAACTCACCAACTCACCCACTCGCACACCCAGCAGCTCCATCGCTTCCGCAGCCCGTGCCACTCACTCACCAACTCACCCACTCGCACACCCATCAGCTCCATCTCTTCCCCAACCCGTGCCACTCACTCAACAACTCACCCACTCGCCCACCCATCAGCTCCATCGCCTCCTCAGCCCGTGTCACTCACCAACTCACCCACTCGCCCACCCATCAGCTCCATCTCTTACTCAGCCCGTGCCACTCACTCACCAACTCACCCACTCGCACACCCAGCAGCTCCATCGCTTCTCCAGCCCGTGCCACTCACAACCGCTATGTGTCCTGACGTTTAGGCCACCCTGTACAACAACAACAACCCCTATGTGTCCTGACTTTTGGGCCACCCTGCACAACAACAACAACAACCCCTATGTGTCCTGACTTGTGGGCCACCCTGTACAACAACAACCCCTATGTGTCCTGACTTTTGGGCCACCCTGCACAACAACAACAACCCCTATGTGTCCTGACTTTTGGGCCACCCTGCACAACAACAACAACAACCCCTATGTGTCCTGACTTTTGGGCCACCCTGTACAACAACAACAACCCCTATGTGTCCTGACTTTTGGGCCACCCTGTACAACAACAACAACAACCCCTATGTGTCCTGACTTGTGGGCCACCCTGTACAACAACAACCCCTATGTGTCCTGACTTTTGGGCCACCCTGTACAACAACAACCCCTATGTGTCCTGACTTTTGGGCCACCCTGTACAACAACAACAACAACCCCTATGTGTCCTGACTTTTGGGCCACCCTGCACAACAACAACCCCTATGTGTCCTGACTTTTGGGCCACCCTGCACAACAACAACAACAACCCCTATGTGTCGTGACTTTTGGGCCACCCTGTACAACAACAACAACCCCTATGTGTCCTGACTTTTGGGCCACCCTGTACAACAACAACAACCCCTATGTGTCCTGACTTTTGGGCCACCCTGCACAACAACAACAACCCCTATGTGTCCAAACTTGTGGGCCACCCTGTACAACAACAACAACCCCTATGTGTCCTGACTTGTGGGCCACCCTGCACAACAACAACAACCCCTATGTGTCCTGACTTTTGGGCCACCCTGTACAACAACAACAACCCCTATGTGTCCTGACTTTTGGGCCACCCTGTACAACAACAACGCCTATGTGTCCTGACTTTTGGGCCACCCTGCACAACAACAACAACAACCCCTATGTGTCCTGACTTGTGGGCCACCCTGCACAACAACAACAACAACCCCTATGTGTCCTGACTTTTGGGCCACCCTGTACAACAACAACCCCTATGTGTCCTGACTTGTGGGCCACCCTGTATAATAACAACCCCTGTGTCCTGACCTTTGATCCACCCTTTTATGCAAATGTACCATCCGGCGGACGTGACGTCATCTCCGCCATATTGCCTAAGGGGACTTCAAATGTAAGGCGGAGAGTGGTGGGGGGTTAACGTCATCAACCGCCGCCGGTTGACGTCACGCACACGCGCGTGCGGAGGGTGACGTCGTCACGCACGCTCGCGATGAGGGTGACGTCGTCACGCACGTTCGCGCGTGCGGAGGGTGACGTCGTCACACACGTTCGTGCGGAGGGTGACGTCGATACGCACACGCTTCCGGAGAGAGGCGTCCTCGTGCACACGCGCTTCCGGAGGGTGACGTCATCACGCAGGTATCGCGCGGGGGGGGAGGGTGTGAGAGGGGAGGAGGGAGGGGCCAGGAGGGGGTGGGAGGGGCCAGGAAGGAGAGGGTAGGCCGGTAGGGGGTGGGCAGAAGGGGGCGGGTGCAGGAGAGGGAGGGGCAGGAGGGGGCTGGGCATCAGGAGGGGGCGGGGCAGCAGGAGAGGGAGGGGCAGGAGGGGGCTGGGTGGCGGCGGCATGACGTCGCCACGCTCGTCACGCGCGCGCTGATGTCATCGCGCTCGCGCTCCGTGCGTGATGACGTCCCCACGCACGTGACCACCCTCCCCCTCCCAGAGGTGCGGCGGCCCCCCTCCTCGTCACCCAGAAGAAGTTCAACAAATTGAGGAGGTGAGGGGAGTGAGACGAGGTGAGGGGTGGCGGACGAGGTGAGGAGTGTGGGGGAGTGGTGAGGGGAGTGGGGGAGTGGGGGACGAGGTGAGGGGTGGCGGACGAGGTGAGGAGTGTGGTGGACGAGGTGGGGGGAGTGGTGGACGAGGTGATGAGTGTGGTGGACGAGGTGAGGGGTGGCGGACGAGGTGAGGGGTGTGGGGGACGAGGTGAGGGGAGTGGGCGAGTGGCGGACGAGGTGAGGGGTGGCGGACGAGGTGGGGGGGGTGGCGGACGAGGTGGGGGGGGTGGCGGACGAGGTGGGGGGAGTGGCGGACGAGGTGGGGGGAGTGGCGGACGAGGTGGGGGGAGTGGCGGACGAGGTGAGGAGTGTGGGGGAGTGGTGGACGAGGTGGGGGGAGTGGTGGACGAGGTGGGGGGAGTGGTGGAGGAGGTGGGGGGAGTGGTGGACGAGGTGGGGGGAGTGGTGGACGAGGTGAGGGGAGTGGGGGACGAGGTGGGGGGAGTGGGGGACGAGGTGGGGGGTGGCGGACGAGGTGAGTGTGAGAGTCTGGGACGAGGTGAGGAGAGTGGTGGACGAGGTGAGTGGAGTGGGGACGAGGTGAGGGGAGTGGTGGACGAGGTGGGGGGAGTGGCGGACGAGGTGGGGGGGAGTGGGGGACGAGGTGAGGGTGGCGGACGAGGTGAGGAGTGTGGGGGACGAGGTGAGGGGAGTGGTGGACGAGGTGAGGGGAGTGGTGGACGAGGTGAGGCGAGTGGTGGACGAGGTGAGGGGAGTGGTGGACGAGGTGAGGGGGTGGGGGAGTGGTGGACGAGGTGGGGGGAGTGGTGGACGAGGTGAGGGGAGTGGTGGACGAGAGTGGTAGACGGGAGTGGTGGACGAGGTGAGGGGAGTGGTGGACGAGGTGAATGGTGGACGAGGGGAGTGGTGGACGAGGGGAGTGGGGGACGAGGTGAGGGGTGTGGTGGACGAGGTGGGGGGAGTGGGGGACGAGGTGAGGGGAATGGTGGACGAGAGTGGTGGACGAGGTGAGTGGTGGAGGAGGTGAATGGTGGACGAGGGGAGTGGTGGACGAGGGGAGTGGTGGACGAGGTGGGTGTGAGAGTCTGGGACGAGGTGAGGGGAGTGGGGGTGGAAGGGAAAGGTTGAGCCTGAGGAGGAAGAAGAGGTGATGGTGGATGATGAGGTGAATGATGAGGTGATGGTGGATGATGAGGTGATGGTGAATGATGAGGTGATTATGAGGTGATGGTGAATGATGAGGTGATGGTGAATGATGAGGTGATGGTGAATGATGAGGTGATGGTGGATGATGAGGTGATGGTGAATGATGAGGTGATGGTGGATGATGAGGTGATGGTGGATGATGAGGTGATGGTGAATGATGAGGTGATGGTGGATGATGAGGTGATGGTGAATGATGAGGTGATGGTGGATGATGAGGTGATGGTGAATGATGAGGTGATGGTGGATCATGAGGTGATTATGAGGTGATGGTGCATGAGGTGATGGTGGATGATGAGGTGATGGTGGATGATGATGAGGTGATGATGGATGATGAGGTGATGGTGGATGATGAGGTGATGGTGGATGATGAGGTGATGGTGAATGATGAGGTGATGGTGGATGATGAGGTGATGGTGGATCATGAGGTGATAGTGGATCATGAGGTGATTATGAGGTGATGGTGCATGAGGTGATGGTGGATGATGATGAGGTGATGGTGGATGATGAGGTGATGGTGGATGATGAGGTGATGGTGGATGATGAGGTGATGGTGGATGATGAGGTGAATGATGAGGTGATGGTGGATGATGAGGTGAATGATGAGGTGATGGTGGATGATGAGGTGATGGTGAATGATGAGGTGATGGTGGATGATGAGGTGATGGTGGATGATGAGGTGATGGTGAATGATGAGGTGATGGTGAATGATGAGGTGATGGTGGATGATGAGGTGATGGTGGATGATGAGGTGATGGTGGATCATGAGGTGATGGTGGATGATGAGGTGATGGTGCATGATGAGGTCATGGTGGATGATGAGGTGATGGTGCATGATGAGGTGATGGTGAATGATGAGGTGATTGTGAATGATGAGGTGATGGTGAATGATGAGGTGGTGCATGAATTGCTTCATCTTCGCCTAGGCCTCAAGGCAACACAAAGACAAAGGTGCCCCGTGTAGCCTCTAGCAGGGCTGTAGGGGCAAGTGCTGTTAGCGAGCACCTATGAAGGCCGGAATGGCACACGAGGGAGCGGGTGGCCAGCACCACGCCCGGCCGCCTTTGTCTCCCCAGTGGCGATGTTTACTACACCCCGTTACACCAGGTAACCACTTGAGGCTGAGTCGACCTAGGGGAGGCCCAGGACCGGTTCTGATAATCGTCACTGGTGGTGTTGGCCGTGAGCGGGAATTGAATTCGGGTCGCCGGGTTCATAGCGCAGCGTAGCGCTAACCGCTACACTATTGCTCCAAACGTACAAACACACGTAGATACACACGTAGTTACACACAACAACAACAACAGCGGCCATTCGCCACTTCGTGGTATTGACGTCACCACGACGCTTGTGCCAGGCTATGTGCACCTTGAGGCCACGTGAAGTGTTTTAGCTACCCGGCGCTCCGCTCGTTGTTATGAGCGTCGCTCCTCCGCCCTCCGTTGTTGTAGGTCGACTGCCTCCAACTGCCCAGTAGCGTCCTTCACGAGCCTCCTCCACAGAGGCCGATCTTGACACTGCTGGTACCAATCATCGGCAAGCCCACTCAGCTCCACGTCCTCCTGTACCACATCACTCCATTTCTTCTCTAGCCTGTGCTGCGCCCGTTTAGCCCCCTCAATCCGGCCGAACAAAAGCTGTTTCGGCATGCGGTGGCTGGGCATGTGGGCTACATGGCCCAGCCAACGCAGCCTTGCCTGCCGGAGGAGCTCACCGATGGGGCTTGGTCCAGATCTTTCACGGATTTGTGAGCTCCTCACACAATCCAGCCTGGTTAAACCCAGAATGGATCGTAGGCAGGCCAGCCTAAATGTGTCTAACCGACGAAGATGTTCTATTAGGGGGGTCCACGTTTCGCAAGCGTAGAGAAGGGAGGGAATGACCGTGGCCGAGAAGACCTGAAGCTTAGTGTGGAGCGACAGACCAGGTAGCTTCCACACAGCATTACGCAACCGATGAAAAGATATTGCCGCTCGACTGATTCGGAGTGAAACCTCTGCTGTTAAACTGGAGCTGGTCATAAGCACACTTCCCAGGTATGGGAAACTCTCCACTCTCTCCACAACTGCCCCATCACCGATTGGGAGTTGTGGGGGTGGAGTGTCCGATGGTACAAAATACCCAGGCAGGTGCTTAGTTTTGGTGGGGCTGATGGTAAGGCCCCACCTCTTAGTGGCACGCTCCAGTCTCAACAGCAGCATTTCCAACTCCTCCTCTGAATGAGCAGCTATTACCAAATCATCGGCATACATAACGTGGTTGAGCAATAGGGAGCCATCCCTTGACCGCACCCGGGCATCGATCAGCCTCCCATTATATCTGTACTATATGGAGATTCCCCCGGTACAGCTATTGAAGGCTTCACAAACTACGTGGTCAAAATAGATGTTAAATAATGTGGGAGCCAGAGGACATCCCTGTCGCACCCCAAGGTGTACAGGGAATGGCTCTGGCTCCCGGCCACGTAGTTTTACCCGGGCCTGCTCACCATCATGAAGGTCCTTAATGATCGTGAGCAGTCGGTCAGGGACTCCGAAAGCACGAAGAACAACCCAGAGCCCAGACCTACTGATGGTATCATAGGCCTTGACCAGGTCAATACAGCAGAGATGTAGGTCTTGTTGGAATTCCCTACACCTCTGCTGTAGCAAACGGACAGACACACACGCACGCACACTTACACAGACACACAGACACACTCAGACACACGCGCACAGGTACGCAGGCGTGTGGAAGCATGTAGATTCGCACACAGTCACACCTCGTCACAGCGCACTTAGCTCGCTATAGATAGCTCTTGTGAGTAGCAGCACACACACACAGCACACACACAGCACACACACACACATAGTACACACACACACCACATACATTACAAACACAGTATACACACAGTACACACACCACATTCAGTACACACACCACATACAGTACACACACCACTTAGACAGTACACACACCCCACACACACCACTACACACACACACCACAGTACACACACACACAGTACACACGCACAGTACACACAACACACAGTACACACCCCACACACACGACACACCACAGTACACACACACAGTACACACACACATTACACACACACATTACACACACAGTCACACCTAGTCACACCCGGCTCTGGTAGCTCGCTATAGATAGCTCTTGTGAGTAACAGCATTGGCGGACTCCTGCCAAACACGCACACAATACACACACACGACACACACACCACACACTACACACACACACACTACACATACCACACAATACACACACACGACACACACACCACACACTACACACACACACACTACACATACCACACACACAATACACACACACCACACACTACACACACACACTACACACACACACTACACACACGCACACCACACACACAACACACACACACCACACACACTACACACCACACACTACACCACACCACACACTACACCACACCACACTACACACCACACACACTACACACCACACACAACCACACACACTACACCACACACCACCACCATCTTCCACTATACTTAGATCTGATCCAATTACCTCCTCCCTACGATTATAACTTTAGCCATTCAGTCGCCTCTCCACCCTCCCTCCCCGTTTGTTCGTACAGCGACGCCTCTGAACGTGTCCCGTCGTGTTCCATGAGAATCCTGCTCCCTCTCTCCACCGCTCTCTCCTCTCTCCCCTCTCCCCACCAGCAGGTAGTGGGGGGACTCCTCCCACCATCCCATCCATCGTACTCACTCACCCACCCACTTAACCACTCACCCAACCTACACAACACAACACAACCCCACCCACTCACCCAGCCAGTCCACCCACTCACTCACCCACCCACTCACCCAACCTACACAACACAACCCCACCCACTCACCCAGCCAGTCCACCCACCCACCCACTCACCCACCCACCCACTCACCCACCCACCCACTCACCCACCCACCCACTCACCCACCCACTCACCCAACCTACACAACACAACACAACCCCACCCACTCACCCAGCCAGTCCACCCACTCACTCACCCACCCACTCACCCAGCCAGTCCACCCACTCACTCACCCACCCACTCACCCAGCCAGTCCACCCACCCATTCACCCACCCACTCACCCACCCACCCATTCACTCTACCACCCATTCCACTCAAACACCCACCCCAGCCACCCACCCCAGCCACCCGCCCACCCACACAATCCAACCCACTCACCCACCCACACAACACTAACCAAACTCATCCATTCACCCACCCACACAACACTAACCAAACCTGTCCACTCACCCACCCAGCCACACAACCCCAACAAAACCCAACTCACCCACCCACACAACCCAACTCACCCACCCACACAACCCACTCACCCACCCACACAACCCACTCACCCACACAACCCCAACAAAACCCAACCCACCCACACAACCCACCCACCCACACAACTCACCCACCCACACAACCCACCCACCCACACAACCCACCCACCCACACAACCCAACTCACCCACTCACCCACACAACCCAACTCACCCACCCACACAACCCACTCACCCACACAACCCCAACAAAACCCCACCCACCCACACAACCCACCCACCCACACAACCCACTCACCCACACAACCCACCCACCCACCCACACAACCCACCCCCCCACACAACCCACTCACCCACACAACCCACCCACCCACACCACCCACCCACACAACCCAACTCACCCACCCATCCACACAACCCACCCACCCATCCACACAACCCACCCACCCACACAACCCACCCACCCACACAACCCACTCACCCACACAACCCACTCACCCACACAACCCACTCACCCACGCAACCCAACTCACCCACCCACACCACTCACCCACCCACACAACGCACCCACCCACACAACCCAACCCACCGACCCACCCAACCCTAACCAAACCAATCCCACCCCATCCCACCCCATCCCACCGCAGCCACCCACCACCACCGCCACCACCACCGCCATGGTGGACAGCGAGCTGAACCGCCAGCGAATCGGCGAGGTGGAAAACTGCTTCGGCTCGGCCGGGCGGCCCCTCTCGGCGCCCGGCCGCGTCCTCATGGGCGAGGGCATCCTCACCAAGATGTGCCGGCGGGGGCCGCAGCCGAAGAAGTTCTTCCTCTTCAACGACGTCCTCGTCTACGGCGCCATCGTCCTCAACAAGAAGCTGTACGTGCGCCAGCGGGTCCTGCCCCTAGCCGGCGTCACCGTCGAGGCGGTGGAGGACGACGGCGACCTCCGCAACGGCTGGATGATCCGCACCGCCGGCAAATCGTTCCGCGTCTTCGCCTCCACCGCCGCCGAGAAGACCGAGTGGATGAGCCACGTGGCGCGGCGCGCCGAGGAGCTGCGGTCGGCGGCCGGCGGCGGCGTCGGCGCCGGCGTCGGCGGCGTCGGCGGCGCCGGTGGCGCCGGCCCGGCGGCGGCGGGGGTGCCGGACTACAAGGCGGACGCGTGCATGCGGTGCCGCCGCTCGCGATTCACGCCCATCAACCGGCGGCACCACTGCCGCAAGTGCGGCCTCGTGGTGTGCGGCGGCTGCTCGACGCGCCGCCTGGCGCTGCCGCTGCTGTCGCCGCAGCCGCTGCGCGTGTGCGACGCCTGCTTCCAGGGGCACCTGGACGGCGACGGCGACGGTCACGGTGACGGTCACGGCGGTGCCGACGGCGGTCGCGGCGGGGGAGGGCCGGGGGCGGCGGTCGCGTCGCCGGGAAGCCGGGCGTCCGTGCCGTGTCCGTCGGGCGGCGCGGTGTCGCCGCCGTCGTCTGGCAGTAACGGCGGCGGCGGTGCCGGCGGCGGTGCCGGCGGCGGTGCCGGCGGCGGTGGCGGTAGAGCGGGGAAGGGGGCGTCGTACGGAGGCTACGGAGACCTGGACGACAGCTCGAGCGACGAGGAGAATGGATATCGCTAGCGCCGCTGATGACGATGCTGACGATGACGACGACGATGACGACGATGATGACGACGATGACGACAATGATGTTGTGATTCGTGGCGGTGGTGGCGGCGGGGATGATGCAGAGGGAGAGAAAGACACGAGGACAGATGCACAGGCACGCACGCACAGGCACAGGGATAGAGACACGCACACACAGACTTAGACACACACACACATAGACACACAGACAGAGAGACACACAGACAGAGACACACACAGACACACACAGACACACGTAGACACGGACATAGACACACACATACACGTAGACACACAGACAGAGAGACACACAGACACACGCAGACATAGACACACACACACGGACACAGAGACACAGACAGATAGACACACAGACACACGCAGACATAGACACACACACGGACACAGAGACACAGACAGAGAGACACACAGACACACGCAGACGTAGACACACACACGGACACAGAGACACACAGACAGATAGACACACAGACACACGCAGACATAGACACACACAGACAGAGAGACACACAGACGTGAAGCTACATACAGACACACACAAACATAGACACACACACGGACACAGAGATACGTACACACAAACATAGATACACACGGACATAGTGATACATACACTATGATACGTACAGACACAGATACACACAGACACACACAGACACACACACACACTAACACACAGACACACTAACACACAGACACACAGATACATACAGACACAGATACACACACACTAACACACAGACATACACACAGACAGAGATACAGACACACAGATACACACAGACACACACACTAACACACAGACAGAGAGATAGAGACACACAGATACACACAGCCGCACACACTAACACACAGACACACGCACGGATATACTAAAAGAGATTTGCACGGTTGGCTACGTACGGTGCGAAAGACGTTCAACCTCCATGCATACACACACAGATACGTACACACACAGGTACGTACACACACAGATACGTACACACACAGATACGTACACACACAGATACGTACACACACCTATATAAATGTACACCTTTACGCACGCACACACATACACGGGCTGTTGTTTGTGCGTAACGCACGTTGCTTTAGGGGATGGTTTTTAAAATCGTTTTGCATGTACACAGCTCTGTGTGTGTGCGTACCTGTGTATGTGTGTGTATCTGTGCATGTATACACACCTGTGTGTGTGTACCTGTGTATGTGTGTGTATCTGTGCATGTATACACACCTGTGTGTGTGTACCTGTGTATGTGTGTGTATCTGTGCATGTATACACACCTGTGTGTGTGTACCTGTGTATATGTGTGTGTCTGTGCATGTATACACACCTGTGTGTGTGTATCTGTGCATGTATACACACCTGTGTGTGTGTGTACCTGTTCATGCATACACACACCTGTGTGTATCTGTGCATGTATACACACGTGTACACACACACACACGTGTACACACACACACACATATACACACACGTGTACACACACACACACGTGTACACACACACACGTGTACACACACACACACGTGTACACACACACGTGTACACACACACACGTGTACACACACACACACACGTGTACACACACACATACGTGTACACACACACACACCACACAGGCATTGGCTACTTTCCGGGTCTTTTGTCACCAGAACAAACGAGGCATTTTCGCTGCTGCTGTCTTAACACTGGCAGCTTCGGGGGTGGGGTGGGGGGAGGCGGGTGGACGAGCGGACGAGCGAGCGGGCGGGCGAGCGGGCGGACGAGCGGGCGGACGAGCGGGCGGACGAGCGGGACGGGGAGGGCGAGCGTGCGGGACGAGCGGGAGGGCGGACGTGTCACGGTGGGGGTCTTCGCGTGTCGCTGTCCTACTTTATAACGGCAAGGGGCCTGGCGTGTGTGGCGAGCCCTCGCCCTTCGGCGCTGCGACGCGTCACCGGCGCTGCGGCGCGTCACCGCACAGCCGGCAAACTCCTCGTCGGTGCCCCACTTTATTACAGATCAATTCTGACCTTGTTGGTCACCTTGTGCCCTTTTGAATCTCCACGTTCATCGTGTACACTACACTACACACTACCATGCTATACACTACTATACTATACACTACCATGCTATACACTACACTATACACTACACTACCATGCGATACACTACCATGCTATACACTACACTACCATACTACACACTACACTACACACTACACTACACTATACACTACCATGCTATACACTACACTACACTATACGCTACCATGCTATACACTACCATGCTATACACTCCACTCCACACTACACTACCATACTACACACTACACTACCATACTATACACTACCATACTATACACTACACTACCATACTATACACTACACTATACACTACACTACCATACTACACACTACACTACCATACTATACACTACACTACCATACTATACACTACCATGCTATACACTACCATGCTATACACTACACTACACACTACACTACCATACTATACACTACTATACTATACACTACACTACCATACCATACACTACACTATACACTACACTACCATACTACACACTACACTACCATACTATACACTACCATGCTATACACTACACTACACACTACCATATTATACACTACCATGCTATACACTACACTACACACCACTACCATACTATACACTACACTACACACTACACTACCATACTATACACTACCATGCTATACACTACACTACACACTACACTACCATACTATACACTACCATGCTATACACTACACTATACACTACACTACCATACTATACACTACACTACCATACTATACACTACACTACCATACTATACACTACACTACCATACTATACACTACACTATACACTACACTACCATACTATACACTACACTACTATACACTACAGTACTGTACACTATACACACTACACTACCATACTATACACTATACTACACACTACACTATACACTACTATACACTACACTACTGTACACTACACACTACATTACCATACTATACACTATACTACCTTACACTATACACTACACTACCATATACTATACACTGCACTATACATTACACTACCATACTATACACTACACTACCATACACTATACACTACACTACCATATACTATACACTGCACTATACACTACTAATTATACCTGTCCCGTATTGAAACGGCTGTCTGCCGTATGGACCTGGGCAACTAAATTTCCCTGGAGCGGAGGTCACAGAGCGGAGGTCACAGAGCGGAGGTCACAGAGCGGAGGTCACAGCGGTGTTCACGCTCACCCCCCCCCCCCGTTACAGCGGCAGTGTGCGTAGTGGTAGTGGTGGTGACGGTAGTGGTGGCGGTAGTGGTGGTAACGATAGTGGTTGTGACGGTAGTGGTGGCGGTAGTGGTGGTAACGATAGTGGTTGTGACGGTAGTGGTTGTGACGGTAGTGGTGGTGACGGTAGTGGTGGTGACGGTAGTGGTGGTGACGGTAGTGGTGGTGACGGTAGTGGTGGTAACGGTAATGGTGGTGACGGTATTGGTGGTAACGATAGTGGTTGTGACGGTAGTGGTGGCGGTAGTGGTGGTAACGATAGTGGTTGTGACTTTAGTGGTGGCGGTAGTGGTGGTAACGGTAGTGGTGGTGACGGTAGTGGTGGTAACGATAGTGGTTGTGACGGTAGTGGTGGCGGTAGTGGTGGTAACGATAGTGGTTGTGACTTTAGTGGTGGCGGTAGTGGTGGTAACGATAGTGGTTGTGACGGTAGTGGTGGTAACGATAGTGGTGGTGACGGTAGTGGTGGTGACGGTAGTGGTGGTGGCGGTAGCGGTGGTAGTGACGGTGACGGTAGTGGTAGTAACAGTCCCACCACTTTATCCTTCTCATCACTGCTACTACTACAGTACTACTAGTACTACTGCTGCTACTAGTACTGCTACTACTAGTACCGCTACTACTACTAGTACCGCTACTGCTACTAGTACCACCACCACTGCTAGTACCACCACCACTACTACCACTACTAGTACCACCACTACTACTAGTACCACAACTACTACTAGTACTGTTACTACTACTAGTACCACCACCACTACTAGTACCACCACTACTAGTACACACATATACATGGTACGGTACACATACAGATGGTGTGTACCGTACCAAACAAGCATACGCACACACACATACGCGCACACACACATACGCACACACATACACACACACGCACACATATATATGCTTATAAATCTTGACTTAAAGCTTTCGTGACTGCAGGAATTAATTTTCTTGGGTGTTTTCTGTAAAGTCACGTAGATCGGTTCAAAGTTAAATGTTTTTGTTTGTTATTTTCTACGAACCTATCAACGTGACGTTACAGAAAGACCCTATAATATGTAAATGCTTGTTGGGGTATTAGCGCCCGGAGGTGTTTTTTTTCCTGTGGTGTTGATGGGGTGGAGGTGGGAGCGAGGGTTTGTGTGTGTATGCGCGCGCGTGTGGGGAGAGCACTTGCCCCAACAGTCTGTTAAAGGCTATACAGGGGATCTTTGTCTTTGTGTGTGTATGTGTGCGTGTGTGCGTGCGTACCATCTGGTACAGATACAATGGGAGGCTGATCGATGCCCGGGTGCGGTCAAGGGATGGCTCCCAATTGCTCAACCACGTTATGTATGCCGATGATTTGGTAATAGCTGCTCATTCAGAGGAGGAGTTGGAGGCGCTGCTGCTGAGACTGGAGCGTGCCACTAAGAGGTGGGGCCTTACCATCAGCCCCACCAAAACTAAGCACATGCCTCCTGGGTATTTTGTACCAGTTTTTCAGTTTTCAGTTTATTTATTTTGGTATAGCCCTGTGAGCCATTCGGCTCTTGAATCGGGTGCAACCACAACAAACAAAAAACCAACATCTTAAAGTGACTATGTGACTGTGCAAACAGAAAATCCATGAAAGAAACAGCAAAATATTCCTGAAAAAAGCACCGTACACCAACGCTGTGTGCAAAAACATTTTAGTGGGATGCAAGTCAAACAACAACAACCACAAGAAAACTTAGATTAAGGCCATCAGTCTAACTCCGAACTACAACAAAA